TTCAAGCGAAACCCTATTCCTCTCGCACGTGTCATGTGGCGAGCGTGTCTCGGCCGGCAGAGACACGCCTTCTTCACTGTTTGAGCTCCTAGACATGGGAGCTGGCTTGGGGTCTCGTCGAACGTTATGTCCAGATAAACAAGCAACCGGGGCTGTTAGCTCGGCGCGGCAGCTTTAGGGCCGAAAGCTTCCTGGTGGATCTCCAACAATCCCATGGTTGCCGCCAAACATGTTGTTTTGGCGTGGCTGTGGAAGCCGCGAGGTTGCCTCCGTCATCCCCGTCAGCCCCGACCGCAGGTACTCTGGCTGCATACAATGGTTCCGACTACACGAGGTCAAAGCTTCGTCATTCGCATTCACTAACATCACCTTCTTTGAGCCAATCCAACAACATCGACGCAGGGTGTTGGTCGAATCTGGACGTCATGCGGAACCTCGATCTCAGTGGCCAAGATAGTCCGCTAAACGCCCACGACCTGCTTTTACGCCTGCAACGTGCCGTTGATAGCCCACTTTCATGCCTGGGCAAATCCTTTCCCTATCAGAAGGGGTTGTTTGTGGCGTTTCATCCAGCCCTTGACGGACGGGTAGCCGCAGATTTGCTGCATGGAAGGAGAGGTCAGCGAGGCTTGGAAGACGCTCTTCCGTTCACAGCACAAGACCTCGACTTACCCGGACACACACCGACGCAGGTCAGTAGATCCTCCGCTCCTTGGCCTCAGAAGGAAGAGGCTTCCGAGGCCCGGATCCATCCGTTGTATCATCGACAAACCACGTAGAAGCGGAAGAGCAATCCCATATTGTTGATAGGAACAGGCATAATGATGTCGACCAGTCGGTAGGCTGAATAGGGAGGTGTCATTCCACCCTGATTGCGTCCTCAGACACGGACACAAAGGCTGGCTTGCTTGAATGACCCCGTGGCCTTGGGCCATTGAGAAGCTTGGCTAGCAAACTCGCGTCGTACGGGCTCTCACCCCCTGCCAGAATACCTCGTCTACGGCGGCTTTGGTTCTTTCTCGGTACTTTCAATCGACGGCTTGGCGATAGACAGCTTTCTGTTTTGCGCCATCAGTCTACACGCCCATTCCAGCAAAGAGACCACCAACGCAAGGCAACGCACGTCTTTTCGAATAGGAGACTGGGGGTATTGGGAGCTCTCCACACAATCCAATGTCCCTTCACAGTTGTCTCAGAGGCTGCACAACCCATTTGCTCATGCGTGGGGACTGGCCCCCGCCCTGCCTTCCGACTTCGTCTTCCTTGCCTTCGACTCCATGGCCGCCGGCAGCGTGCTTGGAAAACTGAGGTATCTGCTCTTCCTCTTGGTCTGTGCGACATATGTCGAGCAGTAAGTCGCATGTTGAGCCTCCAATCCATCTTCGCTGCTTTTGTGCGATCTCGAGCCAGCCACATCTGGGGGCCTGGTATATAGACACCTGGTTTCCAAGATCTTGCACTCTGTTGGTCTTTTCGCATCTTCTTGATCTGATCGTTCATTTCAAAATACCAAGCCTTTCCTCAGACGTTGGATTCATCAACGCAGGCATCGACATTAGCTCGCCAAAGCTTCCTCGCATCAAGCACGCTACAACGACGAAGCTTATACGTCCTCGCCGCCATCACACTCGAAGTTCTGTCAGCTTATATAGCAAATCTGTCAATTGACTGATTTGCGCAAAAGTCGAGCGAGACTCAGAGACCGTGAGTACAATTTTTCCCTTGTTTTGTACTTGGTTAATTCTCACTCATCCGCTTCCTGGATGACGAACGGCAATGAGATTTGCACTAGGGGGCGTTGGCTTGGACCCATATTGCCGACTGTACCGCGCCAGGCCCCGACTCGTCTCTGTTTGAGGGGTTTGTCGTTGCTCGGCGGGGATTTCTTCCGCGGCGCAGGCGTCGAATTGAACGGAACAGGAGCTGAAGCTGACGGTCTCCAGGTAGCACAATTCGTTCTGCTCTTCTTCCTGCGAGTGAGTGAGCATCCGTCCCATAATGTTTGATTCCTCGGGGGAAACGACCGAGTGGATCGCTGGTACTCGAACGAACGTCCAAGACAAGAGGCGACGAGTGGAAGCATGCTGTATGGCGCAGAGTGGACGTCGAGTTAAGCTGGCTGGCTTGTCGATTTTACCGGCCCATCTGCGTGGCTTACGCCGTACCCGTCAATGAATGGCGGTGTCCCTAACATGACCAATCCTGCCGGCTTACGGGGTCAAAAGAAACGACCAGTCTCCTTCTCGACGAGCATCAACCTCAGTTGCTGACAGCAGTTTCAAAATGTTCAGGTCGAGCAGGATAAAGGGCTACAGACAAACCCTTGGTATGACCGGAGCACTTTTGGAGAGTCAACCGGTGAGTGCTATGAAAACCCATTTCCCAGGCGAGAGAGGGGGAGAGGGGGAGGGGATAAGACATATCAAGACCAGATGGAGCAAGGCAGGATCTCGTGTCAAGTCGCAGGAAACGCCCGACAACCAACAGGAAGAGAGGGGCGTTCGGGTCTAGCGGGCAAAAGACGGACAAGGGTATTTTGGAAGAGCGTCAGCGTCACAGTTTGCTAACAACTGGGGGTTGGAAAAAAAGAGGATCGAGGAACTGGGGCGAGAAGACCGCTGCTCCAGCACCAGCACCAGTACCAGCACAGGTACGAGCGCAAGCATCAGCACCAGATCGCCGCCCATCTACTACGGCGCGACACCCCTCGTCGCCGGAGACGACCGTCGTATGAATCCTCAACAGCTGCCCAAGGTACCTTAGCTTTTATCTTTTTTTTTCCCCTGTCGGATCTCATCCCGTTTCATTTCCAGTCCAGCCCAGTCCAATCCGATCCTTTTCTTTCCGTTCCCCTGCAATGCGACTTCGCGCTTCGTTTTTTCCCCTTTCCCGCCTTCCCCTACAATCTCTCGCGAATAGACGCTGTGTTGGACACACAACGGACGACGGCCCCTACCTTACAAGAGGCGTCGAGCGAAACGTCAGCACAACAACCATGGGCCGGCCGGCTTGATTAACCCAATCAATTCTTCCTCGGGGTTTGTTGGCCATTCGGCGGGGTTTCGCACTTGCACAACGCACACTTCAACATCGTACAACTCAGCACTGCAATCGTCGGAAGACAGCCTGCCTTTTGACAAGAGAGGGAGAAGTCAGAAAGCAGAATCGACACGACTTGACGGGTGGCGGGCGAGCCAAAGGGCAGGCAACGACTGTCACTGGGCCAGGCCGCGTGCCGACGGCGTGATCCTGTCCCGAGGGGCAGCCAGGCGAACAAGCGGGCCGAGTGTGAGGCTTTGCGAAGGAAAAAGAAAAAAAAAAGGTGCGTACGCGATTCGACGCTCATTGCTTTTTCTTGTTTCTCCCGCCTAGTGCACCTTCATCAGCGGCAGTTTGAATTTGTTTGAATCTCAATCATTTTCCCTGATTTTCTATTCCGCGGCCTACGTCTGCAAGAAAACAGAAAAACGGACGGGAAGCACGAGGGCGCGCACACAAGAACCCCAGAAATGGATGGATGCACTTATCGAGGTCGGAAGCTCTCCTGCTTTAGCCGGGTTTGGGACGATCAGTTCGACTCCCTGGACCTGGCGAGGCGCACAAGTCAGGATGCCATGGCCCTTTTCATGCGGATCGGTACCACACCAGCGCCGCGCATCTGGCACCCAGGAGGCGCTGCGATGCCTGGCAGCGCCTCTCGTTCTTGGGCGAGGTGATGGGATGTGGGCTGGGCGGTTGTGCAGGTGGGAGTGGGTGTGCGTGTGCCTCTCCTCCTCCTTCTTCCCATCGCCCTCTCTCTTGTGCGTTGTGTGTGTGTGCCCACCGCACGACTTGCCTTTTCGACCCCATCGGCTAGCTCACACGGTCGTCTGCAAGCAATTGCAAGACAGCCAGCTAGTAAAGTACTTTGTGGTGCCTGGCGGTATCAGATCGTACTGCCTGTATCCCATGTTGCCTCCTCTCCTGCACGTCTACTTCTCATCGGTCGGTCTCAACAAGACGAGGCCAGACCGGTCAAACACCCACCCCTCCGCTGCTGCTGCCATGAGCACCTCCCCTGCCCTCAAGACGTTTTGACTCCTGTTGCCTCTTCGTGGGAAGATGTCTCTCTTACGTGTCTCGAGCTAACTTATGGCGACTGGTGCTCTGCAGGCCACACTCACTTGCTCGTTAGTCTGTCTATCCTCGATGGATCACACCTGAGGCGCCCCTCACTGCTCAAGCACGGCTTCCTGAAGGTTGCGACAACACAGCGTCGAGATCGGATTGCGAGATCTTGTTCATTGTTTTAATTTCCATTTCTCAACAAGAATCATGCTCTAACAAGTCCGTCCCGTAACTAGGAGTTTGAGCCGTCGACGGGGTATGACTACCTTGACATCCAGCCATCAGGCAATGACTTGCGGTACGTGGCAGTTCCATTGGCGTTTCCCTCCCCTTCTTCTGGGGGACTCGTCACAATAACGTCCCCCTCTCGATTCTTGTGCGCTGGCCAGGCTGCAGTGTGCTAGTCGGCTCTGGTTCCTTTTTAAATGTCCAGACATCTGCAGCCCCCGGCAACAAACTTATCCCCACCACCCCAGCAGTCATATTTTCACACACAAGTGTAGTCCCAGGCTCTTGGCTCAGCCTCTCGGTTCTTGGTAGGGTCTCTGCTCAATCTGTCTAGCTGGGTGAGCCTCGAGCAGAAATTGCGTTGCAGAGACAAAGAAGGCGGCCCTCATCCGCGGCCAAAAAGAAAAAAAAAATTCAAAGCAGCCTAGACACAGACACCAGAGGAAGCAAAACGCGAGAGAGATGAAGAGGCATGGGTAGCCGCCTTCTGCCACCCAACGTGCCACTAGAAATCCACAGGCATTCCCGCCTGTCGCCGCGAGATGGTGGTGTGTCCTCGCATTTCCCGATCCTGTATCCGCTGGCGGTTGTGCAACGCGCTGCTGGCAGTACGACGAACTGGGAGCTGGTCGCACTGACACTGTGTCTCGCATGTGGACGCAGTACAGCAGTTGTCGTGTCAGGCTTCCAACGCTCTGCTTTGCTTTACTTCCATTTGCCTTGCACACTACTCTCTCCTTGGAGGGGGAGAAGACACTCGGGCTGACGGGAACATCAGATACGAACACAACGTCAATGCTCCTCTGTCGACGATCGAAGGCCCTCCACAACAGCCGACGGCGCTCTTAAATCTGTTCAATCCACCTATAACCACCACCACTCCGTACTCCACTGACAGCGGCTTCTACCACACTGCTGCCTCTCACGTTTTTCCCAGCCTGGATGTCAGGCCGCGCCTGGGCTCAAAGTAGGTCGCACACCGTCCCCCCGAACCCCCGACAGCGCCGAATAGGATTGCGTCTATCCAGACGAGACGGACGGCCTCTATGCCCTCTAGCTCTAGCTTTAGACAAATCATGGCCAAACTCCCAGACTTACCTGACAGTAGCACCTCTTCGACGGGCATGCACCGCTCCACAGCATTACCCCATCCTGGCACACAAATCAGTGTGAGAGACCAGTATACTTCCGCGACACCATCTTTCAGGAGGGTCTCGGAACATCAACCCAGATCTCCATCTTACCCAACCGCTTTGCGCCGCCATCCCATATCTCCAACTTCAAGCCCGATTACCGGTTTCACCGCACCGACTGCCTTGAGGATGGATGCCGCCGGCCATTATCCTCCGTCCTCTTCCAGGACACCCATGAGCGTGCCTCCGCTGAGCCCCATCACGCCCCTGGGCATCCTCCAATATTCCGATGGAGGAGTCGTCAAGATCGACATACATGGTAACATCGACAAAGGCTTCTTCCAGTCTGACGGCGACTGGACTTGCTACAGGAGGAACTACTTCTCCTGTATTTGCTCCTTCAGCCTGACCCCCCACTATCCCGGCCAGCCGCTGCAATTCACTCTGTCCGGGTCCACGCAGCCTTACAACGTCATCGGCTTCGCAATGTCTATCTCGGCTGTCGTTGCAGAGAACGACTCCCACGTAATCGAACTGGTTCAGCACACGCCTAAGAGAGACAAGGGCCCAATCGCGAAACCCGAGAAAGTGCGCCTTCATCCCAAGTACCCTCACCAAGCGCATCCCCTCGGGCTATACCCTCATGACACCAGCCTTGGGGGGCCATCCAGAATCGGCGGCGGCTTCGCAGACGGCGGAAGTTTCCCAGGTGCCCAGCAGGGGGGCGACTCGTTCCAAACGGAGCACACCTTTGAGCGCATTCAGTTCAAGCAGGCGACTGCAAACAACGGGAAGAGGAGAGCTGCTCAACAGTATTACCATCTGCTGATTGAACTTTGGGCGGATGTAGGCCAGGGACCCGATAACCTCGTCAGGGTCGCGTACCGAAAGTCCGCCAAGATGATTGTGCGCGGTCGTTCACCAGGACACTACCAGGCCGAAAGGCGCGCCAGCACAAGCAGCGGGCCAGGTGGATCGGGCGGCAGCATATCCGGCTACCCGAACAACACAATTCTCGGATCGGAATACTCTGGAGGAGGAGCGGGAATGGCAAATTGCTACGGAGGAGGCTACGACACACGCGGTAGTCAGTACGGAGCACGCCACCATACCGAGCTCGAACCTATGATCCCTCCCGAGGACGCCAAAGCCATCGATACAGCCAAGGAGTACCGTTACTACCCCGGTGCTATCTACGAGCCACCCGAGTCGGCAGGAGGAGTGGAGATGTTTCAAAGCCACCAAAGTCGGCAGGATCACATGCCGCACCTGGCTTCGCAATACGATCCACTCCACGATAGGGTCAAGCGTGATCCCGAGAATGGAATGCTGCCAAGCATCTTCCAGCCCGGACCGCTCATGTCGAATCAGCGCTGCGGTCCGTACGAGGGCAAACCTACATCAACAGGCTACTACCCGACAATGGTTCCCCAGTCTGGAGTCAACCTCACCAACATGACTTGAGCAAGCACTGGGTCGTGGTGAAAATCGGGCTCCACGAGGGTGGATCACTGACAACCAACATACAAATACACAAACACACACACTGAAAGCAGTACGAAAAAATGGGTCGAACGAAGAATGATGGCAAACAGTTGCTCTACTCTCCTGCATTCTTCTGGATTTTGTTCTCTGGAGAAATATTCACAACAATTGGCATAAACTCGACGGCGAGAATCTTGGCGCATGGAAATAGTATGGAGACTTCATTTGGGACGACGCGATATCCGAACGAGACAGGTTGCATGTTGGAAGACTCAGACAACCTAGTGAAGAAACAAGGGTTATGGCGAACCGGCGCGTGGGATACAGAAAGATAACTTGTGGCTTGGCTTGGGGACGGCGGAATTTTCGCCCGGCACGCCCAGAATTAAAACAACATGTCATGGGAAGGAAAAGTTTGGGGGAAATCATGTCCACGGGATACGGAGAACGACAGGCATTGTTAGGGATACCCGCTTGCGCATTTCGGATTCTCCTTTTGGTCTTCTATTTCTTTCTTTCCATCTACACCCCCCTTACCCCAACCTTTTTTGGCTGGTCACCCCTCCGTCTTCTCTTCCCTGGGCATATGGTTCTGTAATAATGCGAGGATATGGAACATTCGCTTCAGCAAAGACTACTTCTTTTTTTTTTTTTTTTTTTTTTTTTTTTNTGAATGATATCACACTTTCGGACGAGACAAAGGGCGGGCGAGAGGATAGGCCGGTGAAGAGAAAGACAGGGACCGGCGTTCAGGATACGGCTCGTGTCCTGACGACTCGAGCCGTTAGGGCTTGGAAACTTGGGCCAGGTACTGGGGAAGCATGGGCGGGCGCCGATGCCAGGTACTTGGTATGTTTTCTTCCTGGGAGTGTAGTATTAGCGTACCTGTTATCTATCCTCTTTTTGCAATACCTGATATGAGGCAAAAATATGACATACCTTTTCGCTCCTCAGCAGACGAAACCAACCAACGCGCAGTTTGCTTTCTCGTGTATATCTACGTGCTTGTTTGCCACTTCTTGCTCCCCTCATGGTCTTTGGCCATCATGCGGATTCGGGACCAGTCCCGACTTGGCGATATGCGATGAGCTTCTCAATAGAGATGCGTCTTTGGGCAGCGGGATGGGCTACGGAACGGGTGTGGATGCGGACGGCCCCGGGGTTTAGCTGGATGCAAGACTGAGTAAGGCCCCGCAGGCGGTTGTCGTCGTGAATGCAGAAAGAGAGAGAGCGACAGAGAAAGGCTAGGGTGGATCAGAGGGCAAACTTCAGGTTCTGTTGCGGCAGTTTCCTGCATCGTACTTCTTTCATGTCGGCTTGGCCCGGTAGATCCCTGCCTCGCCATCGGGTAGACGAAGGGTTGACATTGGACGGGCTGCAGCGCGCGGCAGCAATGGGTAGACTACAGAAGCAACAACAATATGGAATAATGGGATGGTAAGGGGGGGCTGGGGGGAGAGGGTGGCCTGGAGAGAAATGAGACTGGTTGGCTTGTCGTGGTGTGCGTCGCACCAACGAGTGCCATTTCCGGGCTGTTCCCCTCTTCTTTCCTCCTTCTTCTCCCTCGCTCTCAGGGCCGTTTCAAGGAAGTGTTCCCCGTATCCCCCGCTACCCTCTCCATCTCTCTCTCCCTCTCCCTCTCCCTCTCCCTCTCCCTCTCCAACACACACACACACACACACACACACACACATCCATACACGTACCACCTAGCCTCAAACGCGGAATGGTGAAGAAACGGGGAGAAGAAGAGAAACGGGAAGAAGAAAGTGTGTATGTAGTGACGGGCACAACACCTACACACAGAACCCGCTGGTCTGGTTCTATACGAACCTTGTCGGAACACAGCATGAACGACCGGAAAGGGGGGTGATGGCTTGATTTGCGGTGAGCTCGGCGGGCAGAAGTGGAATTGCAAAGGGGGCTGAGGGCGGAGGCGGTGATGATGCCGGGAGCCGCTGGTTCATGCGAGTTTGCGGGCGGGAGACGCCGGGCGTGCTACGCGGGCTTTTTTCCTTTCACTGGAGTATGTGGCCCGACAATGATTGGGATGATACAGGGGCAAAAATCGAGAGCAGGAAGTTCTGTTAGTTCCCGTCGCTGATGAATGGGATTGGTATGTTTGGTGGATGCTTCTTGTTTGTGTGCTCGCGCAGCTAACCGTGAAAAGTACGGCCCTCCACCAAAGGGGTGTAATGGGAGGGGACGCCCCTTGATGTCGGCGGAGAGCAGGCAGAGAGAGGCAGAAGGTAGCTTCTCGGATGGTAATTGGATGGCGGAGGGTTAGTCGCACCGCATCAGCACATCCCGGCGCCCTCCTACGGCAGCCCCTGTGACCTGCCTGTAGTTCCTGGCCCGGACGAATATGACAGGTGAGTCTGTGGGCTTGGGTTGGTTGGGGGGTTCTCAGTCAAGTCGCATGTAAGATTACATCCTGGCACCGAGGCGTTGGTTCATGGCGCTTGGCTGGGAGGTGATGGCCCCAGTATGGTACCATTTGACGGTTGTCATCTTTGTTGGAGGAGACTCATGTGACATGGAGAGGCATTCGGAGAACAAGAACTTGGTGTGTAAATGCGCGCGCCGAATCCAAGGGAAGTGGGAGGCAAGACGGACTGACGCTGCGAGTTGCAGGCGTCGCGAAATGAACGAAACCGGGGGGAGTTGGAAAGACAGAGAAAAACCGCGACGTACGGCTGGCTGCAAGCCATGCATGGATCTAATCATGATCTCGATTTTGGTCCCCGGTTCCAAATGAACCCTTGTTACTCACACTGGCCTCCTCTCCCTCCGCCGGACTGTTCTCCTGTCCCTGAGCTATTTTGGCCAGGGTGTTTTGTTGCGGCTGTCGAGAAGCTACCTACAGTAGACGAGGAAAAGAGGGGTGGGACGGCTTACGTCGAGGTTTCTTTGGAAAGAAGAAGGGGGAAGAAAAAACCCGTCTGCATGTCTCATCGCGCATCACCCTTTTTTCCCTCATTTTTGTTTCTTTTTTGGTTTTTTGGTGCCCCCTCCCCCCAACGCTTCGAGAGTGCAACGTGATGTCAAGATGGGAATAGACGACGTCAAACGTGGGAGGGGTCCACCGGTTCAACTGATGTCCAATTAAGGTTTTTGAGTGACATCCCGGACCTCAGACGTGTTGTTTTAGTTTAGAAGCTAAGAGTGTTTTAGTGAGGAGTCTAAGACCTTCCAAGGAGGAAATTTCAGGTAAGAAGGGTTGAGCCTTAAGGTGAGGGGGAAGAGAGGTGGTTGGCTGGGCAGAAAAAAGAAAAAGCAATGTGTTTGTGAGAGGAAGACAGACAGGAAGAAAGAAAAAAAAAACAGACCGTCGGTCCGGGACACGCAGCAGACAGACGTGCTGGACACACCCGACACGAGAAGCCTGCCGCCCTGCCCTGTTCCTTGCTACATACGGATACCTTTGCTGAATCTGGGTACGTAGGAAGGTGCAGTCCTTTCACTTTCGGAGCAGGGTAGCAGCGCTAGAAGAGGCATTCTTTTCGGCATGGCCCTAATTATTCCCGCCCGTCACCTACTGCGCGGGGGCGGGGACCGCTGCGGAGAGCGGAGACCGGACGCCGAAGACCGGGGCAGCCAGCCCCCTCACCTCCCATTCTTGACGTGCGCTGGTAAGACGGAAGAGGAAAATGCACTGCTCAGGGGGACCCATGGAGCTGTCGTCGGAGCGGGACCTGACGCAACAGAGGCCCAGTGTATCCGTACGCTATCCCCGGCCGTAAATGAGATCGCGCTTCGGGGAGCGTCGGCAAATCGGGTACCTTGTCCAGGTTGCGGAGCGTGACCAGGCGGTAAACAGGGCACCTCAGGCAGGAGAGCGGCGTCGGGATGCTTGCCTGGGACCTAGGGGACAGGCGACAGAATAACAGTACACGCGGCGCTTGTGGCCGCTTACCTACTTACGATTACCGTCAAAGGTACCTATGACCCGAGGGAATGGGGATCACGGTGGGGACCTCCAGCTGTCACGGTCTTGCAGCAGGCAGGCAGGCGGGCTCCGGGTTTTCTGATTGAGGGCTGATCATCCGACCCAACCTGCCCCGCTGCAGCTGCGCAGTGTGTCTTCTGTCTGCCCAGAGCAGAAGACAAGTACCCACTCGAGATTAGATCGAACTACCTACCTTGCCTACCTACACAATGCCTGCATACATCTTCTCAGCTTCCTTCCTCTTGCGTATCCCATGCGTTGTTGATCACCCATTCACCGACGGTGAGCCAAGAGAGGCCTCAATGCCCGCCGCAGCCTTGCCGACCTTTGGAGCGTCACATCTTCCATCGTTACGACCTGCCCTGGCCTGCTCTTGCCTCGAGGCTGTTGGGGATGAAGAGTAATCCGTAATTTGCTACCTCGGTGCACATTCCCTCATCCCTGATCCCCAGCTCACCGACTGCCTTTGCCGCAGTTTGAGGTCGTGAGGGCGCTACTTACGAAGGGCATCGTCATCTTCACCGTTCCCGCCCAAGAGCCGACTTCACGTTGCACAAAGTTTCTTCCTCGACCCAGCCTTACGGCAAGCCATCATCTTCCCGTCTCACTGACCACCCTCCCTTAGCAAAGCCCTCACGGAAAGTACACCACCACCACTACTGCGAGGACGATGATTCAGCTTCAGAAAAGGTGCACATCTCACAACAGCCAGATCCTTCGCCTCCCCGGCCGCTCGCTCATCGACATTCGTCAGTGAGAGCTCCTACCAACTGACCCGATGGATGCGAGTTGTCATCATGCTCCTTTCTTTTCCAGCAGTCTTTTGTGGCCTTGCTGCCTTCGCAACCCCTCAACCGTACTCACCGATCTTGTGACCACCGCCGTCCGCCTTCCAATCGGAACATCCCTCGGGTCATCGAAGCCCGGCTTTCCCTTTCAGTCTGTCCACGACCTATGTTTTCGGGTAGAGTCTCGCCTTCACCACTCATCGCCCTCGGAGGCCAAGTTCCAGGACCTGCCATTTGTGAGATTGGCACGACGCCTGCTAGTGCTGAAATCCTGGGGGCGGCTGACTTGTTCCGTGTCACTCCGAGTGATGAGACCTGCAGCGCTGACCTTTTGCTTCTACATGGGCACAACATCTGAAGTTTTCAGGGATGTTTTCACTCCAGTCTGTCAAAGTGCACCGTCTCCTCCACCGCGGGGCGTGAGTTTGCTTCCATACCGCAGCTGTGGCGATGATGTCGTTCGGTGACGACGACGACGACGACACACCGACCACATTCCATCGGGCCCTGTTCTCATGCGCTGGCCTTGGACCTTTCCCCTCACCCACGGCTCGTCACATATCCCTAGCTGCTTTATCCCTGCCAGTCCGAGCAGGCT